GGCAAAACACTAAGAATAGATGAGTGGTTGAATGTGAGGAACTAGCTCCGGAACATCCTGTATCAGAAATACTCTATCAGACACTAGGTGGTGGTATTGCCTTCCGAATTTCTCCTTTTATACTGTCCCTTTGCCTTCTTCTGAACATGCTTCTAGTTTCCCCTTAAGAAAAAATATAACAATACTGTAGAATTATTATACAAAAAAACAAAAATCTTATGCTTTTACTGCAGTAATACCTATCAAAATGTTACTGTAAAATGTATACATTGAGACAATTACCAGTAAACAAGTGCTCTATATTTATTTAGCCCAAGCAACATAGAGTTGAGAAGGCAGGATCCAGTCCCTGCGGGGTTCATTGCCTAATGCTAAATTCAATGCACCAACCCCCAGATTCAAACTGATGACCTTCTGAGCAGAGCCGTAGCCTCCTAACTCAATGAGTCAGACACCAGCTGGTACTTATTAATCACTATAGAGGATCCCAGTACTAGTCTGTAGTGTAGGCTAGTAATGTTTAAACATAGTAACAGTTTATTTTTCATCAATTAAAACCAATGGATGGGTCATGTGCGCAACTAATTATGAGATGATGATGATGAGGTGAGTAGATACATCTGCGGATGCGCTGGGACACTCCATCAGTGATGTTTCCTGATATACTCGGGTGTTTCGGGTCTCACAACATCAGACGCCCTCCTTCAGGCAACCCAGCCTGGTCATGTGCACAATTAATTATGAGAGAAGGAGAACAGAGCAGAACAATTTACAGAGGCTTGATGTTTCGATAATGACCAAATGGCTGCATGTTATCCCTTTACTTATATATCTTGTAGAAAGATGATAACACATATTTCTTTCTATTTCTATTTTCATTCAGGTAATGCACAATTGACTATAGTATTTGGTTTCCAAAATTTCTTTTTCCGTTTAAATAGGAATAAATACACTGCCCGTCCAAAAAAAAAGTCGCCATTTGAATTTGTATCAGCAAATACTTAAAAGCCAATGACTAGATAATTATTACAATCCTGCAACGTTATGCATCCATCATAAATGGATTTTTTCTTCCCTGTTGGCATGGGCATATTCCAGGACAAGAATGCCAAGATTCAATGGGTTCAAATTGTCAAAGAGTGGTTCAGGGAGCATGAGGAATCATTTTCACGCGTGACTTGGTCACCACAGAGTTGTGACCTTAACCCCATTGAAGGTCTTTGGGATGTGATGAAGGAGGCTTTATGGAGGTTCAACTCACTTGTCAATACAGGATCTTGGTGAGAAATGAATGCAAATCTGGATGAAAATAAAGGGTGAGATGTTGCTTAAGCCGGTGGAAACAATGCCATGACAAATATGCGCCATAATCAAAGCTAAAGGCAGCCCAACAAAAAATTCCAAATGGCGACTTTTTTTTTGGATGGGCAGTGTACAACTGACACAATAATTGGCATGGTCCTTTGCTGGAACACCCAGTCTAGCTGTCCAAACTGCTCTCATTCTGTTTGTGAAGGGAACCTCCCAACAACTGTTGTTTTGAAATCTTTTCAATAGGATTTTGATTGGTAGTCATTGTTGGAAGACCCGTGACCTTTGACAGAGACCCATTCTTCTGTTTTTGAGTTGACATGCACTATTATTCTCCATATTTCAAGGCACACATTCAAGACACACAGTGCAAGTAATGGCAAAGACGTCACTGAACCTCCCTGTTTGGCGATTCTTTAAGAGGACTTTTTGCTTTTGGTGAAGAATCCTGGGGTGTCTGTGCCATCACTTGCACTGGGTGTCTTGAACGTGTGCCTTGAAATATGGAGAATAATAGTGCATGTCAATTGCAGAAATGCAGAAAAGCTGAGAACAATCAGGAATTCACATAAGGTAATGAGGGGGACGTGGCACCAAAAGGATCGTACAAGCAGGTCATGACAATTAGCTGTCAATTTAGTCAATTTCAACTTAGATAATCTGTGAGTTGACAAAGTGAGTTGTAAAAGTGCCAGAGTGCCAATAACATGCCAGAACTGGACTCATGCTGAGCTCTTTCACCATTGGGCCGGTTTGAAGGCCGCGTTGGTGCAGCCTTCACAGGACGCTCACCTGAAACAATAGGGAGACACGTACCTGCTTGCAGTGTGTGGCTCAGTGGGTTAAGCCTCCAGCCATGTGACTGGAAAGTCGCCAGTTCAAATCCAACAGCTGGCAAAATGATGCTACCACTGGGCCCCTCAATATAACCCCCCCCCCCTTTGCTCCAGTGTCACATACGGTCTGTCTCATGGATAACTTGATGGAATAGGCCCAAGAAACTCAATTCCCATGCAGATGAATAAAGCATCTCTATTCTATAACAGAATTGTTAATGCACCTAATCCAGTGATATACTGTACTGAGGAAAGTCAGAGAAAAAAATTAAACCTTTCAACTTTGGAAAATGCTTCTCTGGAATTTTCCCCTCCTGCATTTTTTTACCGTTCTTGGATTTCCCTGATTAGCATGGGATGCTCTGCAACTTTGTGAGCAAGAAGGAGAGAGAGAGAAGAACACACCTACTATCTCATTGGTTAGTACTAACAATAACATGGCACAATATTAAGGTTCAGCCACCATCAAACAGAGAGCAGACCATACAGCTTTGAGTTTCCTCTTGTGCTATTTACTTTCTACTTTGAGAAAGCTTTAAAAGCCTTATACTTGTGCAGTCCAATACACAAATATCCACATGTCCAGACAAGAACAGAGTTGTGGATTTGCTTAGTACAGACGCTCCTCTATTTACGAACTTTCAACTTACGAACTATCAGACATACGAACGCAGGACTTCCTGCGTGCCAATTCTGCCTAGTACAACTTCTGGCCGCTACTCCCGCAGCGTAGCGTGCGTACTCCCAGCATCCTAGTACTTTGTACTTGCGTATACCCTTTAAATGATGTTGAATAACGACTTACGAACATTTCAAGTTACGAATGGCTGTTCGCAATGAATCTTGTTCGTAAGTAGAGGAGTGTCTGTACACACTGTTACATTTTTTTGTTAACATGAAGCTGTGGAAATAAAGAGTTTAAATTCTTCTAAATGTTTCTGGTTGATTTGTGATTATTTAATGACACGTCTGGGTAGCTTTCAGGTTACATTGGTCAGAAGGCCATCTTTTGCCTGGGGCAGATCTGTATAGTTAGAATCACCTTTGGATATTTAGCCTATAAACCGAAAATAAATCTCAACATAAGTAAAAATGGTTTTAAAAACTCAAGGAAACGTAATGATTTCATAACAATATGCAGCATTTAACTTAAAGTTCAAAGCCTTGATTTCAGCACAACTATTTTTTGCCTCCCTTTCTTAATTACACTACAGTATATGAACAAACCAGAGCATGTGAGCGGAGCGGGCGGAATTTGGTCAGAGCGCGGACCGGGTTTTCTAATTAAGGCTGGAGCGGTCGCTTTGTCTCGCTCCGATACCGCTCACACTACAATTCTGAGGCGTGCCCAAATCTACCCAGAATTCATCTGTACAATTATCAAGACTGTTACACAAATTGGCCGAGATGGAATTCGCAAAGTATTTCACAAAGGAAACTGATAAATCATACAAGTGTACTATTCTTATCAAACGTATAGATGACAAGAATGTACAGCAAGAACAACAATGTGGTGAAACTGTTTCAGTGAGTAGAGATTCACTTTGGAATCACTTTTCTCAGAAACATGAGTGTGCTACGCGAACAAGCGGAAGCCAGAGCAAAACGCGTGCAAGTTTTATGTGGTTGTAGCATATCAAGTCTATAAAGTAAATTAAAGTATAAAAGCCTATAAAGTAAATATTGGTAATCAAATAAATTCGTTTTGTCATTCAAAATAGGTCTAATAAGATTTTTTTAAAATTTCACGTAACGTAAAATTTTATTTTAGAGACGTGCTGCATCAACAGAAAAAAATTGAGGAATTTAAAACGTGTCTGTATATTCTTTAGGCTATTAAACCCACTGATTCCTTTATTTTTAAGCTTATTTTTGTGTGGAATGCCATTTCCAAACCTGTCCGTTGTTGCCGATAGGTTGCTTAAAAATAAATATTTTCTGTTCTGACTGGCAATGTTGCCGTTGCTCATATTTCTTTATGACATAAGGCTTCGGTTTAAGGTGACATTTGTTAGGCATGCAGATTATTTGTTCCTCTTTTAAATTGGAGCGAGCGTGGAGCGATTTGACTGGAGCAGGAGGACATTTTAGTGGAGCGAGGAGCGGTGTTGAGTGGAGCGAGGAGCTGTGTTGAGCGGAGCGGCTTAGTGCGAATTAGAGCGGAGGAGCGGGCGGAGCCAACAGCCTCGTGAACGAGGAGCGGAAATTCTCGCCACTCCGCTCCGCTCACATGCTCTGGAACAAACGTATTGGGACACCTGGCTGTTACACCTACAGGAACTTTTATGACGCCCCATTCTAAATCCATAGGCATCAATATGGAGTTGGTCCCTCCCTCTGCAGCTGTAACAGCTGCCACTCTTCTGGGAAGACTTTCCACAACATTTTGGAGTGCGTCTGTGGGCCTGGCTCGCAGTCTTCGTTCTAGTTCATCCCAAAGGTGCTCGATGGGATTGTGGTCAGGGCTCTGTGTGGGCCAGTCAGGTTCTTCCACACCAAAGTCACCCAATCATGTCTTTATGGACCTTGCTTTGGGCACTGGAGCAGTCATAGTGCAGAAATGTTCCCACAAAGTTGGAAGCATGGAATTGTCCAAAATGTCTTGGTATGCTGAAGCATTAAAAGTTCCCTTCACTGGAACTAAGGGGCCCTGCCCAACCCCCTGAAAATTAACCCCTTACCATTATCCCTCCTCCAGCAAACCTTACAGTTGGCACAGTCATGCAGGTAATGTTCTCCTGGCATCCGTTAAATCCGGACTCATCCATCAGACTGCCAGACAGAGAAGCGTGATTCTGAAAAAGTGTGCTTTAATTTTTTTTATATTGCATGAGCACATACAGTATCAGGCATACAAAAAGTTTCTTGAAAGCATATTAATAACAAAATGACAGATTTTAAGAGCTATTTTTTTTTTACATTTTTCACCTAAATTTTATTTGTTTGTTGGTAATGCAGTACCTTGTTGGAGGATGGTGTGCTTGTGTTTAAATACACATAAGTGCGTAAATGTTTTTACCTTTCCACTCCAAACTCCTGTAAATCTGTAGAGAACAACACCTGAACTTTCCGAACAATGTCTGCTGTGGTGGGCAAGGAGACGCAGGAGACAAGGGCATAGGCCTTATGTTGGGAATAATGGAGAATATACTAGGGGTTGTGGCGACGAAGGTGCTATGCTTTGGCAGGTGTCCTCCGAGCTGCCTGTTCACAGGGCCCAGGGAAGGCAACCCCTTGCTGACTCATCTGTTTTTCCCGATCTTCTTCCCAGCATGGCCTTTAATCCTTGTTCGGAAAGACTGCTCCCCCTGCTGGTTAGGGCAATTATCAGCCACCAGTGGCATCATGTTGGCACCTTGTGGCCAACTGTGACGTAACTGTGGTTACCATCGGGCTGTGCAGTGCTGATTGCTCCTGCTGCTGTGCGGCGGATTCCTGGTGGACCGTTGCGTCACAGCTCCTTAATTAAAATGAGAACAAACAGGGGAAAATGACAAGGGAGACGAACTGTGAAGCACATAACGTTTTATTTCTCTCTCAGGTCTTGAGTGGGGGTCACTCAGATGGCCAGACACGGAACTGACTATTAATGATATCACAGTCACTTCCTGCTCGCAGTTTAATTAAAGAGCATACGTGCAGGAAATGAGCAAAATGGTGGCACAACACAGAAAGCTATCCATCATACAGGCACTGGGAGTTCTACATCCCTATTGTAACATTAGTATTATCAAGCTGGAATGGATGGGACAGTAAAGACGCGTCCTTTCCAGATTCACTTACAGTTGATTCTGGCACTAACACATCTGTTCTCTTCATGCTCACAGCTGGCTTTATCTGTACCCAACCAGGGTATGAGAAATCACCTTTAGCATCTACTTGCAATGTACAGTATTTAAGCCAATTCTGCCTGACCCTGGAGTAGTTTCTTCCCCGCAGCTGTCAGTACCCTCCCCACCTTTGAACGTGGCCTGGTTGTTGGTGCCAGACACACTGGTGTAAGTATTTCAGAAACTGCTGATCTACTGGGATTTTCATGCACAACCATCTCTAGGGTTTACAGAGAATGGGCTGAAAAATAAACATCCAGGGACCAGCCGTTCTCTGGGAGAAAATACCTTGTTGACGGCAGAGGTCAGGGAAGAATAGCCTGGTTCAAGTTGAAAGGCAGGCAACAGTAGAAGAGCATCTCTGAATGCACAACGTGTCGAACTTTGAGGCAGATGAGCTACAACAGAAGAGCACAGCGGGTGTCACTCCTGTCAGCTAAGAACAGGAACCCAGGGCTACAGTGGACACAGGCTCACCAATACTGAAGATCGGAAAAACATTGCCTGGTCAGATGAACCTTGATTTCTGCTCCTACATTCAGATGGTAGTGTCAGAATTTAGCGTAAATAACATGAAAGCATGGATACATCCTGCTTTGTATCGACAGGCTGCTGCTGGTGGTGTAATGGTGGGGGGGATGTTTTCTTGGCACGTTAAACGCTAATTCGGAGATACTAAAAACAAGAGATTCTTAAACTTTAGTGAGATCAAGTCTTTTTGGAATTTAAAATGTTAAGAAGATAGCATGGTCTTCAAAGTCTGAAAGTATCCCTAAGTGCCTTTGGAAAGAACATGACCTGGACACAATATACGTCACCTGAAAAGGCAGCTGATGAAATCACCTGATTTTAGATGAAAAATAATACACAGCTAAGAATTCCTGCAAGGCTGTCACTAAACCTTTTGCCATAGTTGAAACACATTGTTTCAGAAGGTACTGAAGTCCAGCTTTGGTTCTTGGCAAGGAAACAACCCAGTTAGTGATAATGCACTCTGACGCACTTAGTGATGGGATACATCGGAGACTGTTCTTTTCCAGTGTTTTACACAAATTATAGGTTTTGCGATGTCCACCAATACTCACCTAATGCTGATTCTGAGATAAAATTGCATATTTTCAGTCACAAATCAGTTTCAGGTAATGCATTACTTTATTGTTACCAATAAATGAATAAGCAGTTTCCTCTACTACCACATTTTTCTGAAAAGGTAAAAAAAGAGCTGCATGTTTGTCTCCACAGTTCAACAATAAGCTTGTCCACAGACCAGAGGTGCTTCCCAATATGCCTACTTGACCGTACTTGTGTTCCTGTGTACCCATTTTACATCATTTTCCATTGCTGAAGACCAGTTCCAATACTAAGAACAGGAGTACAGAAGACGGTAAAAATCCCCGGATGTCGTTTTTGCCCCAAATATCAAGCGTGTTGTGTCCTTACCAAATGAGAACAATCCCATGATTCACTGCGCCCCAAGTTCATTCTTGGGAGACATGATAGCAAGGCTGCTCTTGCCGAGACCCTGACTACGGTCTTTGCTTTCTTTGTATTGAGAAACACCCCACATGTCGAAGGTTTAGACTCCACTCTTCAGTTTCCCCTTCCCATTTCTTGGTAATTTGATGTCAAGAGGGAAGTGAGCCGGGTATAACATCTAATAATCGTCCAAATAATGTTAGATAAGACCTCCTCTGCATCCATTCACTTTGCCTGAGCATATGTAACAGCAGGGGTAGAAAGCTTCCAGCTAATATTTTCAAAGCTATTGGCACTTGGCAAAAGCACATTGGCTTTCAACCACCTCTGGCATGGATAGACCTTCCCATCAGGCAGCCTATTACTAAGAATTAAGGTAAGCTGACAGCTGGCAGACTCAGATACACAACCATAATAATCTGTTGTGATAACTGACAGTTATAATTTTACATTTGCTCCTTATTTGTGCACCTCATACTTTATTTTTACTGTGTGGCACATCTTCGGGCTTTTTTTTGTATAACTTTCTGTTCCGTATTTATTACTTACTCATTATATAGCTACTAAGAGCTTACACTCTTTATATTATGGCAGAGTTGACCAGCCGGCATTTCACGGCAGGTTCTAGTCTGACTGTATATACCTTGTATGTGACAAATCCCTTGACCCCCCCCATTTAAGGGCTGTTTACCTGCACCATTGCCCACCTCACTGACTAAATGCCAGACGTGCCCTCAGCTCCGGTGTATACAGTAGATACATTGCGTAACTTATTTCAGTTCCTACTTCCGAATGAACAAGAATAAAACGAGTTCATGACTGTTTTATGGATAAAAGACTGTTCAGCATATGGCATTCTCAAAATGCTGCTGTTCCTCGGGTCGTTCAGCTAACGAGAAAAAGCCCAGGTTTTTAAAATGTCCGTGAGATTTCTGGGCAGGTTGATCGCCTCCACAAAACATTCTAGGACAGTGGGAGGTTTTCCTTTACGTTACGGTCTCTGAGAAGCATAAATTGAAGAAATCCACTCAGTTCACATTTCCTCCCTCTGTTCACAATTTCCCACTGAGACACAGATGCCCTTAAAATTTCTTACTCTGTACTTACCAATGTAGGGGAGGAACAACCTGCAGCGATAGGGCTCCTGCATTCCAGAGTAAGTGAGTGAATTTTTCTGGCTAAGGGTACGTGTAAATCTTATAAAAATATTAACCACATAGGTACCGAGGATGTTCAGATGTTACAAAAAGTAAATTTTGGGTCAGAGTTGTAAAAAAGTCAAAAAGATATCCTGGTTCCCTCCTCACTCAAAAGAATGACAGAATCTGCTGTGTAGACTTATCAGTAAGCCATTATTTTTTATAAATAAATAACATTCATTTCAAAGATAACTGGAATACTCTGATACTGTGCAGCAGAGATGATATGATGTGGTGCGTCTTTGTCAGTGAATTCTAACCCATGATAGATCGACGAGGCCAGGCAGCCAGTGTGCTGTTCTCCGAAGATCTCTGTCAGCTGCACTAAACCATTTCACATTACATTGTTTTCCATCCAGCACATAAACTAGCCAGTTTACACATATTGTATATGATTTCTGCTACTGTATACATAAATATGATTTCCAACCAGCACTACAATTAGCACATTTACTGTGAATTTTTCTTCTCTGCATTTAAGGTCAATTACCAACTGAACCAACTCTCATAAATATACTAATTACCGATTACATTGGGAACATTCTGAGTATCCTAATTTAATCCTGTTTATCCAGTTACCACTTAACCAAGACTAGAGATGACAGATTGAGTTTTCTGTAATTTATTACACATGTCTGACATGTCATAAGAAGTTGTCTTGTCGATAGCCCAGCCCTGTGATAGTAAATACTGTGCTGCCCCTCAGGTCCTCTTTATGGCCATTTCAGTGCCTCACAGCTTATTGATTTGCGCCATAGTCGATTTCCTGGCATATTTTGAGATTTTGTTCAAGTGTAACACACTTCACTCATTATCATTCTCACACTCCGTGGAGGCTCTGTCTTTTACGGGAAATATGGGTGAGTTTTGCCAGTGTTTGCTTATGTGTTCCTTAGTATGAATATGGTGATATTCTTAAACAAGAATACTGTAAAATGTATGCCATCTGATAGAATGCTTGTGACTGGATGTACTAACTGACTGAAAAAAAACTATTTTTTTTACTAATGTCCTACTAATGACAGAAAAGTAACTATAGAAAATAATTCTTTGTTGTGCACTCTAACTAGGTCAACACAAATCTCTTGTTAGTTAACTGATATATATAATCAACGGGGATCCCTCTTATTTAACTAATAATGAGCCTTTACCTGAATTTTGATTTAATATTTTAGAATTATGTTTTAACCACCAATTTCTAACAGCTTACAATCCAATAATGTCCATTACATGTTTCACTACTGGCTCAGACACCATAGCACAGAAGAGTGCATGTCAGAGTAATGAATGAATCTTCTCACTTTGGACTGTGATAATGTCTCTGTTCTTGTGCTTTTGGACTTAAATGTCTATGTTTGACACCATACATCATATTCTCTTGGGCAGACTAGAAAATCTTGTTAGTCTCAGTGGAAAGGTAATTTCATGGTTTGTGTTTTATCTGTCAGTCCATTACAGTTTCAATATATAATGAAATGTCAAAAAAAAGTCTACACACACACACCTACGCACACACACACACAAATAGTGTGTGTGTGTGTGTCATAATGTGTTATTCAGTTCCAAAAACCGAATGACACATTATGACAACAGTGATGTTTATGACAACAGTCATAAACATCAATAATGTGTCATTAATGTGCATGACATGTGTCATGTCATTCTTATGACGGTTTCATGTCACCCTTATGTAGACTGCTTCAAGTAAAGTGTTGCCAATAATTGCCTCCTCAATTCTAGCATTTAAATGCTTCTTGAGATACTTCTCAGTAATGAAGTTCATATTAAAACACCACGGCATGCGTTTGTTTTATAGTTAGAGATGCTGAAGGTCAGTCCTGACCAGAGGCTTCTCTGTAAGCTAAGCGCTCATTACTGTCTCCCAGCAATGGCAGCATTTGTCCTTATTTAACTGCTTCATTTCTTGATTTGCATCTACTATTGTCAGACTTCCCTCGTAGTTGCGTAACTCTCAAGACTAATCTTACCATAATTAATTTCTGTACAAGCAATCACTTTATCTGGTCTTCAACTAATAGGTCATCAATTGCCTCCAGGCAGCTGTCAGCAGTGTCGAGAGATTGAATACACATGGTTCCATAATTGAATGCATTGATACTGATGTCTCTGTCAATCCACTTTCAGATCCCTGCCACCAAAAACTTTATTACAATACATTGATCATTCATCCCAGCTTCCATTATTACAAGAGCGTAGATGAGAGTATGTATGGCAGGGACATGTTTAGTGATGAGGTCTACACCACCTACAGTATATCTGGTCCGATTCAAGACTAAGACACTGAATGATAGAGTCAAACGGGGGTCAAAACTGAGACTTTGTGGGGGTCAAGAATGAGTCAAGACCGATGTTTTGAGGGGGTTGAGACTAAAACCCAAAAACCCCAAAAAATTCCATTTAACAGACCATCGTTTTCATTACACTTATTTACTATAACCATCGCTCCTGGTAATACTTAAAAGTAAAATTGTATTATTTAATATGACAACCCTTTTATCCCAAGCATTAGCATTTAATCACTTAAACCCAATACTGTAGCACTGCTAACCTGATCGAATCTTCATGTGATCTACCCATGGTGAGAGATGTGTACAAAGCTGTATGTAAATGTTGTACTACAGTGAATTTTCATTGGCTATACTGATTGTTTATTAGGAATGTAAGACGACATAACTAGCACACACTGTACTTAGCATC